CTTTCGATTATGTAATTTTTTATTTCATTAGACAAAAAGTACTCAAAAACTTGTTTAAAAGAGGCATCTTAAATTTTTTTCTTGAATGATTCGGATAGTAAAATTTCATTTGTTACTTTCCGCATCAATTTTTTTTTCATTATCATCGCATTTATAAATATGGTTTGGTTCAAGTAATTTTTGATTATCTATGTAGTTTTGAAAAACTTCTTCGTACTATACTGTAGGTAAAATGAAATTACTATTTTTCTCTTCGTTACCGTCTTCTGAACCACATTCAGACTCATTATCAGAGATATTAATGTCATCACCATTTTCAATATTTTTTCTACGATACACGCGTTTTCTACAATTTGGTTTTGAAATTGACATTACAGATCATATCGGAATTAAAATATTTTTCATGAAAGAATTCAAAAAATATTTACTAAAAAATAATTATTTAGTAGTTTATCTAAATCAGAAACAAAATTTATTCCGTGCAATCAATACTCATGAATTAAACATAAAAAACCTGCGTTTAGCTGAATGCAAATTATTTTAGTATTGAAATTTTTTTCATCGAATTCAAGCGTCTAAAATAATTATTCTGTAAATTTTTTTATGGGTCAGTATAAAATAAAAAAATTAAAAAGTTTAAATATAATATTGAGAAAACAAACAGTTATAGAGATTTATTAGTACTACTAAAGTATTATACGTAAATGCAAAATAAGATGAGTGATGTGATTCTGCAATCTAGAATTTGAAAATTTTGAAAATCTGATTTCAGATTCATTATCAGCAACCCCAAAAACCCTTTTATACTAAATATGATTGAAATCGGTTGATTTCCGAAAATTTCATCCGCCATCTTGGATCCGCCATATAGGCTTTTTTAAATCTAGATATATGTTCATTCTCAGCAAGCTCAAGAAACTTTAGAAATACATTTTTACACACATCTAGGGTGAATAGACTTTCATATGGTAATTTCAATATTTAGGTTGAAAATTTAGCATTATAGACGCCATTTTTTTAAATCATCATATTGAATTTAACTTAAAAACATGATAAGTTTGAAGTAGGATCCATGGACGCAAAAAATCCATGTTTGCACTATGCCCGAAACCGATATCAATTCAGAAATCTTGTTTCATTATAAAATAGTTGTTCAAAAATCGTAAATTTTAACTAAACAAAGCAAATATAACTTATCAAAATGAAATTTTTTACAATAACTAAAATCAAATTTGTAAAGATCATAAAATTTTACGTCAAGACAAATTTGGAGTTTTGTTCAATTCGATTTCTTCATACAAATATCGAACGAAAAACCTGGTAACAATATGGAAAGATTTCAATTGTACCGAATATTCGAAATGATTTAGAGATACCTACAGTCAAAGAGAAATTAAAAAATTCTACGCAAAATATAATTCCAATTTTCAAAACCACCCAAATAAAACGGTCAACAAACTTCTCAAGATATCCATTACCAACACCAGACTAAAAAAACATAAATTAATTAATGCGCAAATTAACAAACTTAATTATTTCAGTCATACTGTAAAATAAAGAAAGTATACTACTGGAATATACTGCTGTTTATTGTATAAATATGTCTAATAGCAACATAATTTGCTTATTGTCTCTATACGTCAGACAGATTGTAAATAATCTTGGAGTAATAGAAAAAAAAGCCATATAAACATTTTCATGTGAATGGAATTGAAAATTTATTTGTGTAAAGAATTTTTTTCTGTACCTAAAAATGCGATTGAAAATGGATTTGTAACAACTTTCTTCCGCTGTGATTTTTTTGAAAGTCACCTGATCACATTAAAAGCCAAAAAGAAATTTCCAAACTGCTCTATAATTCTGCAATTATAGAGTGCATTCACAAATTTTGTTTAATAGGTCTTAATTTATATTTTCAATCTTTTTAAATTATTTATATCTTAGTTGACGTTATATTTGAATGATTTAGGTAAATATGAAAAAAAAACCCTTTTCATTAATAGACTTTTTATCCTTCTCAGAAAATTTCTAAAGAGGTTAACATACTTTTTAATGAAAAGAATTTTCTGAATTTGTTTTCTGAAGATATTAATAAATCTATTCATAAAACTTCAATAAGTTTTTTCTTTCTGTATTTGCCTACACGAATCAAGTACTATGTGAACTAAGATAAAGCTATGGCTAGGACAGAGATAAAATAAATTTGATAGTGAATTTCACTGTTGAAAAGGCAATTCAATAAAAAAGACACGTAATTAAGACGACACATTAAAATGTTTTTTACCTCTTTTAGACTAATATTTTCAATAAAATTATACATTACATAGTGCCGTTTGATATATTTTTTAAGAGTCATAACTCAAAAATTAGTACACTTTATAACGAATACATATCCGAATGAAGACAGAGTTATCGTTCTAAAAAAATATATTGAATGACACTATATAATTTATCATTTTATTTATTAGACTAGAAAAATATTTTTCCGAAATATCTAGAAAGTTAATTAAGTGTGTGGTTATTCTTGGATTGCCTTGCATTACTGAAATTTACTATCAAAACTATGTACCAGAAAGACGTAAAGACTCAGAATTCGATATAAAATAAATTATCACTATACCACTATAGCAGTAATGAATGTACACTTTTTGAAAATAAAAACAGTATATTTTTCTTAAATTTTTATTCATGATCAATATTCGACCTAAAAGAGTTATTAGACAACTCATATCGAATTCTACATAATTGAACCACCACATATACACATAACTCACACTGTAATTCTTAAGCATTTTTTTCTAATAAGTTAGTTACTTTATTCTAACATTTAATCTAAAAAAACTGATATATGTCCAAAATAAAAATTCGCTATTTATTATATTATTGATGAGCACGTGCCTGGTTTAATTGTTAGTGTTCAATACTTATGCCACAGATCCTAGTTCGACTTCCACTTTCTGCACTTCAAACGAGAAAACCATATATAGTCCAGTCGAATTAGACCAAAAAGTATTGAAACATGGATGTAAAACCGAGAGCTTTCGTTATTAATGAAATCAGTCCAGAAGCTCATGTAGACTGACGGAAAATTAGTTGCCTCGCCAATTTTGCGCCGCTATTTGCAAAATGCATGTTTATAGCTAAAAAGATCAAAAAAATGCCATTTTTTCGTCACTTTATGCAATTTTGTTCGTTAAATATCAAGTTAATGACAAATATGCATGGAAACAAAGTTGTAGAGCGCGAAATTTGCTATCGAATTCCATGGTTCAAAGTTGCAAAATTCATTCTACCGGTGCCGCAATAGTTGAATTAAAAAAAAAAGTAGCCGAAAAAATGCTCTTTTTGTATGCACGATTGTTATTAACAATGTCAACATACCTTATTTAATCCTAATAAACAAATGCGATAACTCAGCAACTATAAAAGGTATCAAATCCGGGTTTGTTGCAATCGGTTCATAGAGAATAGAGCTTTTCAAAGAGTTTATACGAAATAAGGTATGTTGACATTGTTAATAACAATCGTGCATACAAAAACAGCATTTTTTCGGCTACTTTTTTTTTAATTCAACTATTGCGGCAACGGTAGAATGAATTTTGCAACTTTGAACCATGGAATTCGATAGTAAATTTCGCGCTCTACAACTTTGTTTCCATGCATATTTGTCATTAACTTGATATTTAACGAACAAAATTTCATAAAGTGACGAAAAAATGGCATTTTTTTTATCTTTTTAGCTATAACATGCATTTTGCAAATAGCGGCGCAAAATTGGCGAGGCAACTAATTTTCCGTCAGTCTACATGAGCTTCTGGACTGATTTCATTAATAACGAAAGCTCTCGGTTTTACATCCATCTCAAATTATAATTCGACTGGACTAATACGAGGTCTCTCCCAAAAGTATCCGACCTACCTCGATTTCTCAACGTTTGATTTAATCTTCATCATCCCGTGGGTGACATTTCAAAGTAGTTTACATTTGATTGAATCATATCGATGTTTCCAGTTATCAAAGCACTCTTGAAACTCAGACTTCGAAGTCGCTTTTAGTGTATTTCTCGCATTAATTTCGATATTCTCTTTATCGACGAATCAATGTCCCTTAAGCAGCATTTTTAATCGAGGAAACAGCCAAAAGTCGCATATCGGGAGTGTATGATTGCTGATGAAGTTGCACAACACTGTATTTCAATAAATACTACTGTACAAGATTTGATGCGTGCGCTGGAGCATTGTCGTGATGAAGGAGCCAGTCACCGGTTTCCCAAAATTACTGTCGTTTGCTCCTGATTGCATCACGCAATCTTTTCAAAGCTTCATCGTAATAATCTTTGTTGATTGTCTGGCCTGTAAGAGCATATTCGTGGTGCAAAAGCCTTTATAATCGAAAAAAACGATCAACATTGACTTGATGTTGCTTCGACTTTGACGGCCTTTTTTCGACCGTGGCTTGGATGAAAGCTTCCACTGCGAATATTGTTGTTTTGTTTCAGGATTATAACTAAACTTTTACCAAGATTAAAGAAAAATTTTATGCAAATTCGCTGTTCGATTTATTCTGCCATTTTTAGCAATAAACAAATTGCGACGAAAGTAAAAAAGTCATTATAAACAAATACACATTGCGTAGGAACTAAGGCGTTTCATCAATACCTCGGGCTACTGACGAGAAGGATAAGAGTCGTTGGGACGTTGGGACGTTCATACCCCCCAGGAGGTCACGTGAGTCTCTCTGCGTGAAAATATGAACGTAGGTCGGATACTTTCTTGACAGACCTCGTATTGCTCCACTACTGTACAAGAGTGTTAGAGCTCCGTGTTATTATCGATTAGATTTGCTTCTTAGATAACCACGGTTTTTCTAAGAAACGTAACACCGACCACCCTGCCCTAAGATTTACCTGTGTAATGGAACTTAGGCTAAAATACGCTGAGCATAGTCGATTGGAATACTCTTTTATTTTTTACCATTAATTATTTATTAATTCATTGCAGGAGAGTATCCTTGGCAAGTCGCCATTCTAAAAAAAGAGCCAGGAGAAAGAGAAAGTATATATGTGTGTGGAGGATCTTTAATTTCTTCACGCCATATAATCACTGCTGCTCACTGCATCAAAATGCACTCAGGGCATGATCTACGCGCTCGCTTAGGCGAGTGGGATGTTAACCATGATGTTGAATTTTTTCCTTATATAGAACGAGACGTTGTTAGTGTCATCGTTCATCCTGAATTTTATGCTGGCACACTTTATAATGATATAGCTATTCTGAAGCTTGAGTTCGATGTCGATTTTGAAAAAAATCCTCATATTAATCCAGCTTGCCTTCCGGATATATTTGAGAATTTCGTTAATACAAGGTACATTTTATATAAAATAAAATCTTATAATCTACGCACACATATAAATACACACACATACACACACAATTAAAATCATTTAGGTATAAAATCAACTAAAGAATCATGTTTAATTTAGGTGTTGGACAACAGGATGGGGGAAAGACGCCTTCGGTGATTTTGGCAAATACCAAAATATCTTGAAAGAAGTTGATGTTTCAGTCATTAGTAATAATATATGTGAATATCAACTAAAAAAAACTAGATTAGGACTAAACTTTAAGCTTCATCCAGGATTTATCTGTGCTGGTGGTGAAGAAGGCAAAGATGCCTGCAAAGGTGATGGAGGCGGCCCAATGGTCTGTGAACGTGATGGTAAATGGAAACTTGCTGGTATTATTTCCTGGGGAATCGGTTGTGGTCAAGCCGGAGTTCCTGGAGTGTACACTCGAGTTTCTTATTATCTTAATTGGATACATCGAACTATTGAAAATTAATTACTCATTTTGCATTATTCTATTTAAAAGCAATTTCAAAATAGAAATATTTTTAATTATATTATTACATTCTGTAACGTAATCATTTTTCAATTTTGTTAATGAGTTCATGATTTTGTATTGAATCGAATGCAGTGAAAAATTAGTATGCTTGATCACATCTTGATTTTTTGGCAGTTGATTTGCGAAGCGCGATAGCCAAACAGTTGATTGAAATTATTATAAGTTTCATTTTACTATTGCTATTATTACTTATTGAATTATATCTAATAAATAACTTATTCAATTTGACAAATACTAAGTGTGGATCAGTTTCCTCATTAACCTTAGCAAATATGCAAGGAGCAACAAATCATAAAAAGGGAACAGAAAAGAGTAAAACAATCAAGTTATGTCTTATAACATATTTTTGTAGAGTTTTCAAATTTAAGCATTACATGTACAATTCTGAAATTCAAATTCCTAAAGAGACCAAATTTATGCATGTGTTTGTAAAAATTAAAGACTTGTATCTATTTATATCTTAAAAGAAACACAACGTAGCAAGCCTGCGTTACTTTCAAAATGGTAATATTTCTGAAACACGAACTTATACTTTCATTGTTACTTTTTACTTACATATTTAATTCTTACTTTCATTATAAAACAGGAATATCTTGTTAATTTTCAATAAATCATATTAAATCTATCATAAAGTGTTATTTAATGTTAACAACTCCAGACCTGAGCTTTAGACACCTTCATCAGTTTCCAAGGTACAGTACCAAGCAATTATTTATTTCAATTTATTATTTACAAATAATTTTCTTTCACTAAATTAATCTATATTTTCTCTAAATTAATTAAGCAACAGTTGCTACTAACATCTTCATAATTTAAACATAAAAAGAGTCTTACCCACTAGAGCCTTACCAAATGGAGATACGTTAGCAGGTCTTCCTTTTTCGGGCGATTTGCCAAACCTACTAAGTGGTCAACTACTTATAAACGAAAGTCATTCAGCAACATTGTATCATTTTGAAAAAACATACGACAAAACTATTTACTAATGTTACGTCAACGAAGTGCCAAAAGATTCGCTGCCACCACTTCTTACTCTTGCGACTGATTCGTAGTATGATTTGAGCATATCAGCTTTCTCATCGCATTACATGTGGTTGTCGTAATTTTTGGATATTTATGGAATTGTATATTTCTGACTTTGGTGTCCATCTAACACACCTGATGGATCATGATAATTTGACAAAAAATTCACTGGCTTCTTATCAATCCATTAGTCATCGAACTCCTACATAAAAAGTACGAAATTCACTATCTCCAGGAGACATGTTTTTATCAGGTTGTTGGATTTTTGGTAAATTTTTCCTGCCTTTCCTTATTGTTCCTATTGAGGTAGTTTATTCAAACAGTGTTAATAGTTTGTTTGCTTTCTCTTTTGTTTGTATAAATGTTTTCTTGTTCTACGAAAGTAACTTCAGATTGCTCTGTCAAAACTTTCTTGCGTTATCAGTTTCTTACCAATTCTCTTCGAATATTGTACCACTAGTACTTGAATAAAAACACATTCAATTAATTCGTCTTCTCTTCCTTAACTTCATTTATCAGGTTATGGGCCCAGCTACGTATTTAAAAAAAAAAAAAAAATTCACGCGGAAAGAAGTTTAGTGAAGAGAACGAGAAAATGGCAACTGAAATTTCTACGAGGCACGTAACGAAATTCGATGGGCAAAATTTTCTCGGCTGGAAGTTCCAGATGACTGTTTTGTTTGTGACTTACGATATCGACGATGTTGTGTTCGGTAAAAGGGTCAAGCCAAATGATGTGACATCAGAGGCGGGTAAGACATGGATAAAAGATAATGCCAAGGCGATGTTTCTCATATCAAGCACTTTGGAATACGCTCAGTTAGAGAGTTTACTTGTGTATTCTACTGCGAAAGAAATGTGGGACGCTTTGATACTTATGTTTGAACAAAGATCGGCATCAAACAAATTACTGCTCGTACAACGTTTTCATGCCTATCAGATGTGTTCCACAGATACTGTAGTGCAACACATAACGAAGGTGCAGAATTTGGCCAGGCAACTTCTCGATGTTGGAGAGAATGTCTCGGACACGACGATTATGGCGAAAATTCTGACCGGTTTGTCAGAAAAGTTTAGTTTCTTTCATACTGCCTGGGATAGCGTTGAACCGACTCGCCAAACACTAATCTACTTGAAGGAGAGGCTGATTCAAGAGGAAAATCGTCTCGATACAAATGGTGGAGAAGTTACAGCCTTAGCTGCGATGACGAAGCGAATGAATATTGGCAGCTACACCGCAGGTGGAAAGAATGACGATAGAAGCAGAGGTGAGAAAAGAGATTTCAGAAATTTTACATGTTACAAATGTCATGAGAAAGGACATATTGCCCGTAAATGTCCGAATGGGAGACGAGACCATCAGGAGAGCGATGAGAGTGATTTATCGCGCAATTGTGCGTTAATGGTCAATACGCAAACTCTGGTAGAGCAAGTAAACATTCTGATACATTCTAGCAATGACGACGCATGGCTTTTGGATAGCGGGGCATCTGCGCATATAACCTATCGTCGAGATTGGCTGACTAACTATCGTTCGAGCACAGGTAACAAAACGGTGTCGCTAGGTGACGATTGTGCTTGCAAGATTGAAGGAGTGGGAACTGTTCCGATTCAAAAGTTTGTCGACGGAAAATGGCAAGAATCATACATTGTAAACGTTTGGTTTGTGCCGGCCTTGCGAAAGAATTTGATTTCAGTTGGTGCTTGCACACAGAAAGGTTATAGTGTACGATTTGACAAAGAAAAAGTCTACATTTCTCAAGGAGAGAATGCAGTGAGCATGGGTGTCAAGCAGGCTAACAACATATATAGAATGTTGTTACGCGTCAATCAACCTGATTGTGTTGGTCAAGCTAACCTCGCTGCATCGAGCTTGCAGCTGTGGCATGAAAGGCTTGGACATTTAAATCCGAGAAGCTTGAAAGAGTTATCTGAGAAAGGACTTGTCGAGGGTGTCAACATAACCAACTGTGAAAATGTTTTCTGTGAAGCGTGTCAGTTGGGCAAATCGCACAAGCTCCCTTTCAAGGACGCAGCTGAAAGGCCAGTGCAACCAGGTGATCTCATTCACAGTGATGTATGCGGACCAATGTCAGAGGTGTCTTTAGGAGGCGCGAGATTCTTTGTAACCTTCAAGGACGATGCATCTGGTTTCCGGCATGTTTACATGATGAAACATAAGTCGGAAGTTTTCGATCGCTTTAAAGAGTTTGAGCGCTTAGTGGAAAATAAATTCGGCCGAAAAATCAAGACTTTGAGGAGCGACAATGGAACAGAGTATGTCAATAAGAATATGGTGAGTTATCTAAAATCACTTGGGATCAAACACGAGACTACTGCTCCATATACGCCAGAACAAAATAGAAAAGCTGAGCGTGACAACCGAACGATTGTTGAAAGTTCTAGAACCATGTTACAGGCTAAAAATTTACCGAAACGTCTTTGGGCGGAAGCAGTCAACACATCAACCTACCTGCTGAATCGAGCGATATATAAGAAGAATGATGACAGAACCTCGTACGAGATCTGGACCGGGAGGAAACCCAATTTGGAACATGTAAGAGTGTTTGGTTGTGAAGCTTTTATGTATGTACCGAAGCAACTTACTACGAAATTTGATGCTAGGTCTAAAAAAGGAATTCTCGTGGGACATGATGGGGAATCATAGAACTATAGAGTATATTTTCCTGATACAAACAAAGTTTCTGTTTCTAGACACGTCGTCTTTAATGAAAAATACATGCTTCGTAACCCAGCAATCACCGACAACGCAGAAGTAATAATTCCTTTTGATTCTGAAGAGATAAGAGCAGAAGCAATGCAACAACAGATCAATGTACAACACGAAGATAACCGAATCGAACAAGAACCAAATTGTAATAGAAATGTACAAGTTGCTCCTCCTCCTGCTCCTCACGTTAATAACGCTCCCAAAATACGACAGCTGAGAAATCGAGAGAATATCAAACCACCTCAGAGATATGAGGTAAATGTTTTGGAATTTAATGTTCCGAATAATTTTCAGGAAGCAGTAAGTGGTACAGAGGCTGCCAAATGGCAAACAGCCGTTGACGACGAGTTAAAATCGCACGTGACCAATGGAACCTGGCAATTTGTTCCGAGGCAAGCCGGTATGAAAACGATAACTTCGAAGTGGGTTTTCAAAGTCGTCAAGAGCAAGGACGGAAAGATAGACCGTTACAAAGCCTGACTCTGTGCTCGCGGTTTTCAGCAAAGAGAGGGCATCGACTACGTCGAAACGTTTTCGCCGGTAGTCAGGTATGACTCTCTTCGTGTATTATTGGCTCATATCACGCAGGAAGATCTAGAGATGGTATCATTCGACGTACGCACTGCTTTTCTCTACGGCGATCTTGAAGAAGAGATTTTTATGGAAGTACCCCAAGGTGTGATGGATGCAAGCATGAATGATCCAAATGATGTTGTGTGTTGGTTGCGAAAATCACTATATGGATTAAAACAAGCTTCGCGTTGCTGGAATCGCAAGTTCAAAGAATTTTTGTACAAGTTCGATTTTCAAGAAACTGACGCGGATAATTGTATTTTCGTCGGTACGTACAATGGCCATACCGTATATCTTGCCCTTTTTGTTGATGATGGATTGATTGCATGTAAATCGATGCATGAGCTGAATGAAATTATTAATCATATAAGTGTAGAGTTTGAAATTACGGTTGGTGATGCGAGTATGTTTGTCGGTTTACAAATACGTCGAAATCGGACTGAAAAGACAATGTTTATTCACCAAAATTCTTACACAAAGCGAATTTTAGATCGTTTCAACATGAATGATGTAAAATCAGTATGTGTGCCAGCAGATCCGAATGTAATTCTGAAACCCTTTGATTCTGAGAGTGCCGAGTGTGCTAAGAGAGCTGAGTATGCTGATGTCAAAACAATATCGAGAAGCTGTAGGATCATTGATCTATTTAGCCATTCTTACGCGACCTGATATTGCATATATAGTCAATACTTTGAGTAAATTCTTAAATAATCATGATTCGAGTCATTGGAATGCAGTCAAACGTGTATTTGCTTATTTATCAGGAACACTTGATGTTGGAATAATGTATCGAAGC